ACCACAGTGGCTCACTTCATCCTTCAATCCACCACCACAGTGGTTCACTTCATCCTTCAATCCACCACAGTGGTTCACTTCATCCTTCAATCCACCACAGTGGTTCACTTCATCCTTCAATCCACCACCACAGTGGTTCACTTCATCTTTCAATCAACCACAGTGGTTCACTTCATCCTTCAATCCATCACAGTGGTTCACTTCACCCTTCAATCCACCACCACAGTGGTTCACTTCATCCTTCAATCCACCACAGTGGCTCACTTCATCCTTCAATCCACCACAGTGGTTCACTTCATCCTTCAATCAACCACAGTGGTTCACTTCATCCTTCAATCCACAACAGTGGTTCACTTCACACTTCAATCCACCACCACAGTGGTTCACTTCATCCTCCAATCCACCACAGTGGTTCACTTCAATCCTTCAATCCACCACAGTAGTTCACTTCATCCTTCAATCCACCACAGTGGTTCACTTCATCCTTCAATCCACCACAGTGGTTCACTTCACCCTTTAATCCACCAACACAGTGGTTCACTTCATCCTTCAATCCACCACAGTGGTTCACTTCATCCTTCAATCCACCACAGTGGTTCACTTCAATCCTTTAATCCATCACAGTGGTTCACTTCACCCTTCAATCCACCACCACAGTGGTTCACTTCATCCTTCAATCCACCACAGTGGTTCACTTCATCCTTCAATCCACCACAGTGGTTCACTTCATCCTTCAATCCACCACCACAGTGGTTCACTTCATCCTTCAATCAACCACAGTGGTTCACTTCATCCTTCAATCCACCAAAGTGGTTCACTTCACCCTTCAATCCACCACCACAGTGGTTCACTTCATCCTCCAATCCACCAAAGTGGTTCACTTCAATCCTTTAATCCACCACAGTGGTTCACTTCATCCTTCAATCCACCACAGTGGTTCACTTCATCCTTCAATCCACCACAGTGGTTCACTTCACCCTTCAATCCACCAACACAGTGGTTCACTTCACCCTTCAATCCACCACAGTGGTTCACTTCATCCTTCAATCCATCACAGTGGTTCACTTCACCCTTCAATCCACCACCACAGTGGTTCACTTCATCCTTCAATGCACCACAGTGGTTCACTTCATCCTTCAATCCACCACAGTGGTTCACTTCATCCTTCAATCCACCACCACAGTGGTTCACTTCATCCTTCAATCAACCACAGTGGTTCACTTCATCCTTCAATCCACCA